TACAACCCGGGAAAGGAAATAAATTAATGCAATTTGTATTTGCCACTGACTCAAAAATACTTGAAATCATTAAAAAAATAAGAAACCATGATAGCAGAGACCATCCACCTGGCTTATGATTTTACTTCTGCTATATTATTCTTTGAAGGAAGGAACCCTTCTTTCAACTTTTTTTGTCTACAGCACAAAAAGCAAGCTACAGCGTTCATCCTAAAATACATTCCACAGCTGGGCACTGTTCCATACACTCTACTTGACTTTACACTCACCATCAATTAGTTTACCTTTTTTGCCTGCATTGTCCCGTCAGTTGAGGGAGCTTCCTCAAGGAGCCTGATGAATTTCCAGAGGAAACTTGAGATGTGGCTTCCTCCAATTAGGTCATTAAATTTACACACTCGAATCCCTTTACATCTTAAAATCTCTGAACTTGTGACATTGTCTTGCCTTAAATTGCACTGCAGAACTCATCTGTGTCATGTCATCTTTAAATCATTCAGTCTCAGCCAGGCAGTTGAGCTGATCACACCCAATTAAACATAATGATGTTTCTTTCACCTGCCACTTTACTACTGAAAGGACAGGCAGAGCTCTTGAAGGCAGACAGTTAGCTTTATTTTTTTAAACTCACATGGGCAGTACCTAGCCTAACAGTCTCTGTCTGCTTTCCAAAGCCTCTGGCAAAAAAGGAAAAATACAGCAGGATGCCCAAGAGGAACAAGTGACCGTCCATATGTGGCAGTAAAAATTCAATATTAATGACATTATTCTAAGTTCAAGTAAATTTTGCAAGCTAAGTTCTAAAGGAACAATCCCTATGCAAAACAGAGATCTGTGCATCTTTGGCAGCTGCCTTTTTTGAGCAATGCCTAAAAAGAAACAACAGTACTTTTGTGTCACTGTTCACAATGTAGAGAATGCTTTGATGCCAGTCTACGCCATCCAAGATGTGAAATAATGAGATATCTCACATCTAACGACGTAAGTAACAGTCATCTCAATCTCTTATTTCTTGTCTTAAGCAAAAATTAGAAGGATTTGAGCAAGAGCAGCAAAAATAGCTAGAAATGTGGGTAGATTCTCATAATTTGGGGGGGGGTCCTAAATAAAGAGCCCAATAAGGAAAGCCCAGTTACAAGTATTTTCTTACCAGATCTCCAATGAAAACAAAAAGCAATGTATTTAACTCTGGTAGTAATAAAATAAAAAAAAATTAAATCTTTTCTTATATGGAGCTATCAGAACATACTGGGACAGGACCAAAAGCCAAGAAAGAAATTATTTCACCAATTCCTTGAGAAGGCCAAAACAATAGTCTAGATGCTTGCTGCTGTAAATGCCAGCATAAGGATATACTCTCTCAAAACCAGTCATGTTGTAGATGATGCATATTACTCATGGACAATGATAGCTCAAGGCAGTATTTCACATAACTGGAAACATCACTCAAGTTTGATCCAAACTGAAACACAGCACTCTGTTGATAACAACAACAAATTTGCCCTTATGACTCTCCTGATTGAGAATTATAAGCCCTCATGTACCACACAGGGCTCCTTTGAATTTAAAGTATTTGTTTAAATTTATACTACTCTACATGTTTTCAGCAAAGGAAATCGGTGAAGATTAGCTATATTCATTCATTGTATTCTACAACAAAAACTCTTATTACAGGGATGACAGGAATGCAAGAAGGGTAAGGCATGTGTCATATAGACATTGACATCAAAACAGACCCCCAAACCTTAATGCTTTGCCCTTGTTCTGTTTGCTTGGGTGGGAGGATGGCGGTTTTATCCTTTATTATTATATTTCTCATAATTTAGTGTACAAAAGTTTGGGTAATTCAGCATTCAAGCACTGGGACAAGGAAAGGATTAGCTAAAAAAAAAAAAGGAAAAGAGAGCATCTCTACTACTTGCCCTTTAGCACACAGTAGTCAGTCCAAAGGTCCTGGGAACCCCTGAATAATGAATTACTACACCATACAGTAGGTTTGATCAGTATGGGATGTAAGAGTCATTTTAGGGTTTAGCATAGTTAAGCTCACAAAACTATTCTTTTCAACTGGTTTTCCATTTCAATTGGTTTAATATTATACAGAAGGCTGTGTAGCAGTTAGTCATCCACCTCCACGGGGGAGGAAAACTGGCTAGAGACAGACTCAGAAAAGCAAGAAAAAGCATTTTTCATTATTAAAAAAATGAACTTCTGAATACAGGTCATTGTGCTTGGGGTACATCAAGAGAATGCAAATAGGCAGTCCAACAACACCACCTTACCTCACTTCCACATCTCTGATGACATGCAATGGATTAGCTGCCATCACTTACACTCGCTCTTTAAGGACTGAATGGCAAAGAACTGCATGTGGGCTTTTGGAACACAATGTAGCAATGTGTACTAAAAGTAGCATATGAAAAGCAAATCCCTAAATGGCACAAAGATGTAATTTGCACAACAACGTTTCAGTTTAGCTCTTCAGTCTGCAACCGAAGGAAAACAATATTTGGTTTGAACACACCAGTATCCTTAAGCTTTGGGCCTCCAACAATTTTTTGATTTATAACAAACATCTAATGCAAAATTTTTAAATATCATCAGCTTTAACTGAGTGGTACCAAGTCAGAAACCGATTTTCACTCTTCTGTAAGGTAGCACTAAAAACAATACAAGCTGATGAGAAATATATTTTTGTACTTTCTGGTTTGTTTACTCACTGAATTTGAATTTTTGTTTTGATAGAATATGAAGGCCATAAGGGCATAGCAACTGACAGAAGACTACTGGGCCACAGAGACCTCGAATCTCTCAGCTCTTCTTAAAGCAACTGGATTTCAGGGTAACTGATCTTGCAAAGTAATCAGCTTCACATTAATTGTTTCAGAGAAAGTTAGGAAAGACCTCTTAGTTGTTTTATGAAAGATACATTGTTAACCACTTCAGCTGGCTAAGATTTAAATATAGTGGGTTCATATCATGGCAAAAAAACAAACAAAAATACAAACAAACAAACAAACAATTACTTTCCTGGACCCTGAAAGCACTGTTAAGAGAATTACTGCTAAAGAAAACTTAAACCATCTTGACATCTCTACTGAAATTAGCTACTTTTAAGCCAACCCTAAACCCAAGTGGGCTTACTCACTGTTTTGCATTTTAAACTTAGACCATTTAAATGTTTTAATTTACAGCACAGACCTTATACAGAATTTTTTCAGTGCAACTGACAGACCAACAAACTGCAGTCCCAAACACGAAAACCATAAGGAGGGATCAGACCTTCTACAATTACTCCTTTTTTCTTCAGAACAGAAGCCTTTCCACCTCCCACCATTAATCTCATCCTCATCTTCCTTATCCTGAATAATCTAGAAGTGGACAAAAAGTATCAGTTCACAAGGCCAATAATAAGGGCATTATTTAAAAAATTTACATGCTAGACAAATTTATTTTTACATGGGTGAAGCAACAGAACTTCCTCTTCCCTATAAGAATTCTCTCACAAATTATGCTTTACCATGAGGAAAACAAAAATACACACTCTGCAAAAGTCTCATTCTATTTAAAAACTTCTGGGTTTGTCCCATTTAAGAGTATTCCATTTTGTTCCCTTTTCAGCCACCCTGACTCTTCTCACCATAAATCTACACACCAACTTCCTTTTTCCTCTGAGTTTCTATGCTGCCTATGCTACTGTTGTTCATTTCAGATCCTGTTCTCCTTCCCATTCCCACACTCTGAAACCTCTTTCACAACTATTCATTTTGGTTCCTCACCCATGTCAGTGTTTGCAACCAGGAGTCACAGCCTGGCATGGACACATAGAACCTTCCATCTCCTGCATGCCAAGCTCTTCCAAAGCGCTGCTGAAGCATCCCAGTTATGCGAAAGGCCTCCTCAGATTGCCCGCTCCAAGCACTTCAGGGTAGGAGAGCCTGGTCGCTGCAGTACTATTTTCCTAGGGCCTAGCACTTCAAAAGCAGCCGCCTACCTTATACGTGTGAAAGTTTTTTGTAGTACAGGGCATCTGTCAGGCAGCAGCACATAATTATAACTACTACACCCTTTAAAGTCACTGTCCAGGATGTAGAAATATTTATTTTTCAACAAAACCTCACTGACATAGGTCTTAACCCTTTACTACCTGCCACAATACACCCCCTTCTCAAACACCTGATGGATGGTCCTGTAGTTGAAGCACCTTCTTCTTTCCCTAGATGTGCTTTAATATACCTAAAATCCCAACTGTTTCTGAATAACAGTTTTGAGGTTAAAATGATGGCCTGCTCTCTTGCCACTGCTCTGAGCTATCCTAAAAGATAATCACCTGCAACAGAGCAATTTGATTGATGATGCTCATGACCGACCAAAAACTAGCTGGGGGAAGGTATCTCCCCTGGATGAAGATGTGTCTTCTGTATGAAGATACCTTTTCTCTTCCTGAATAGTTTCACGTGGTTTGACTGTCCAGACTGGGCAGATGCTTCCATCTCAAGGGGAGCAGAGCTGCAGACCCATGTGGCTTCACAGCATGGCACCCCAAGCACCATTTCAGTGAAATCCCCCCTCTTCACCCATCCATGTGGTGCCACACAACCATCCCAGCTCCCGTGATAACGCCGGGACCCACCTCACCGGCCACCCCATCTCAGCCCTCCCTGCAGGCCCCCGGACACCCCTTCTCCTGCCCTACCATCCCCTTGGACACAGGCCGAAGAAACACACTTGGGATAGGGGCCCAAACAACACGGTGGGGAGAGAGGGGGCTACACCACCCCCTCCTTACGACACGGATTTGTGGTGGAAGGTGGCAGGAAACACCCATTTCCACCCAGCGGGGCTGGACGAGGGGAAGGGGCGCCGTCCCTCCGCAGGAAAGAGGGGCCAGGGAGGAGGGGGGATTGCCCCACAGCGGGGTGAGGGCACGGAGGGGGGCACGGAAGCGGCGGAGGGACGCGGCCCCCGGGGCAGGAGCCGGGGCCGGAGCGGCCACTCACAGAACTCGGCGATGTAGGAGGACACGGCGTAGTTCTCCTCGCACCACTCCAGGGTGGAGGTCGGCGGGCCCCAGTAACCCTCCCGGTCGGCGGCCGGAGCCATCGCGGCGCCCGCTTCAGGCTCGAGCGGAGCCGAGGGAAAGGGGAAGCGGAGGGAAGACGGCACCGGGCCCGGAGCGCAGCACCAGCGGCGGCAGCTGAGCAGGGAGGGCGGGCGGGGGCCGGCACTGGGCCCGCCCCGCCGCGGGCGGAGCCGCGGGTCGCCATGGCGACGAGCTGCGGCCTGCTGGAAGGGGGGCGATGACTGGGGGCAGGGGAAGAGTTTTGTGGTAAAAAGAAGAGATGTAGGGAGTCTGTGGGGAAGGATCGGTGTGGGGCACGTTTGGCTCTTAGGGAGCCCGCGCCATGCCCCTGTGGGGATGAGGCGGGACGGGCAACATCACGGCGCCCTCCTCGCCCTCTTTTCAAGCCAGTTTGGAGGCTCTGAGGAGGTTTCCTCCCTCAGCTTTTCTCACCGGTTTTCCTTGCAGACTTCAGGGAGGGTTTGTAGTGTGAGCGGGGCAGCGTGCTACCTTCGTGTTGTTAGAGCAGGGATTCACAGAGTCGTGGGGTGGTTTGGGTTGGAAGGAACCTTAAAGGCCATCTAGTCCCAACCCCCCTGCCATGGACGGGGACACCTTCTAGTAGACTAGGTTGCTCAAAAGCCCCATCCAGCCTGGCCTTGAGCAATTCCAGGGAGGGGGCATCTGCAGCTTCTCTGGGCAACCTGTGCCAGTGCCTCACCACCCTCTCAGTGAAGAATTTCTTCCTTAAGGCAATGAAGAGGCAAGTGTTCCTCATACTCGTGGGCTGAGAGGAGGAAGGTTTTTTATAGCACTGCCTACTACACGGGGGTTTTCCTCTCATCTGATGCCTTATTTAGTTTTCTCAGTGCTTACTATGTGTACTATACTTACACCCATAATATGCAAACTGCTTCTCAAGCAGAGTTGGTATCCAGAGGCAAGCAGAATCTAAAAAGGGAAAGACTCGAAACACATGAGAAAAGAAAAAAGTGCACTAGTAAAGGCCTTGTAGTACTATGTGGTTTTTATGTTTCAGAAGATGGTCCAAAGATTGGATGAGAAGCTTTGGGGCAGACCTTGGGGGCTGTACACAGTGCTTGCACCCTGCTGGTCAGCAGAAGTTATTATACCCACTTTTAAACACACAAACCTCTTTTCCCACATCTTATTTCTCCTCACCTCCCCTTCTGTAAACTATAAAACTCCAATCTAAACACAGACCTTTCCTAGTGTAAATTTCTATCATGAAGACTAGCCTGCCTTCTGCAGTTCAGTTTACATATCATTGCTTTCAGCATTAGGCAGAGATATATTTAACATATATCACTATTTGTCATAGTGTTATACAGCCTTCAAAGCAAGATTTATTTTAGTGATGGCAATAACAATACACTTAAATGGTCAAAACAGCATCAAATAACTGTGGATTTTTATATGCAGACTGACTTTATATATTTTTCTGATCTAGATTATCCTTCTGAAATTTAAACTTTCAAAACTGAGGGCAGGAAGAGTACCAGACTGATCCAGATGCAGAAAAGTGGCTGTAAGCAATGAAGAGGATTTTGGCCTGTTTGATGCATGTTAGCTTTCCGGACTTTTGAAGTTTCTGTTTATATAGTAAGGAAATTTGTAGGGCTCTAATCTATCTTTTATTATCATGGTAATCTATTTTAAGGTTAAAAGTTCTTAACAGAAAAATAATTCAAAGTTTGAAATTGCAGTTGTTCAGAAACTAAAGAAAGAACTATGAAATATCTTAAATATTAGCTAATAAATATTTGCTCACCAAGAATAAAAATGAGAACAATATGGGGAAAAAGCAGACAATTTTTGTAATACTGAATTACAATTGGCTTTAAATAAATAATTAAAAATATTGATGTTTGTTTCTTTTCTCATCACAAGCATGCTGCCCATGAGAAGATTTGTCACCACAACAAAAACAGAAGTCAGACATGAAACTGGCTTTAAAAATGGGTGAGATAAATTAATGGAAGATTGTATGGGGTAGACAGAAACAACAGTGTGGGTTGTCATCCATTCTGATGTCCATAGAAAGACAATAAAAACGCTTAGCTAGCCCTTAATTTGAATCATTGGGGAATTTTTATTTATTTGGCTCGTTTCTGTAGTATTTTCCATCACAGTATGCATTTACTTCTGACTTGTTCTGTGGTTTGGCTTTCTGCTATTGAACTCTGATGAACCTTTCAGTCCTCAGAAGGATAGTATTGAAGAGGCAGCCTGAAAATATTTTATAGAGGTAAATTCATCTTCCACAGCACCAACTTTGACCATCTCAGCTGTTGCAATAATACATATCAAAACCATTACTTTTCCTCTGTAACCTTGAGCTATGCATTGTTATGTCCATTACTGCACTGGATATAATGTGACAGCCTGAAATTATTTGCATCTAAATGTGGTCTATCTGATTAAAGGGTCAAACCTACCTCTGTGGAGGTGTTGGATTTTCTTTCTCTGATCTGTATGACCTATGGAGGGAATGTATTGGTTTTGAAATAACAAAATCAAACATAAAGCTCCTGAAATGCTTATTTTCAGTTACGCTAAAAATGTACTTATGCTGATGGAGTAGTTTCCTGTGGCCTCAGGTTGCCTGTGGCTAAGGTTCCTCTTTCCACACAGTTTTATGTTGCCCTGAAACCTCATGGCCTAACTGATCAGTGGTTAATTGAGACATGTCAGTTTACACCACTAGAGGGATATGTCCTGTTAATTTAGTGTGTGAATCCTGTAGTATTTTGCTTGGGAATGGAAAAGGGCTGCTGTTCAGAAATGGCACGTGTTCAGCTTATTTTTGTGATCAGTGAAATTCAGGAAATGACACCTGAAGAAGAACATTTTTGTCTCTCTCTGCTCTATGCAGATACTTTATCGTGGCTTGTGCTGCTGATTGTTTCATTTCTGCATAAAATGGGACCTAATAAGCAGATTGATTAGAACTCATAATGGTGATATATGTTGGAGAAGATTGTACTTACTTCCTCTCATCAGTGTATATGTGCAAAGGGGAAGATAAAACTGACATAAAATCTTGAAAATGTCTTCACTGCTTGGTTCTAATAATGTTAAAATAAAGACATCATTCACAAAAATAAAGCTGATTTTTTTACTATAAATTGCCTTTTCAAATTTTACAGTAATTATCGCAGAATGGTTTGGGTTGGAAGGGACTTTAAAGACCACCTAGTTTCAACCCCTCTGCCATTGGCAAGAATACCTTCTACTAGACCAGGTTGCTCAAAGCCCTATCTGACCTACCCTGAACACTTCCAGGGATGGGGCATCCACAGCTTCTCTGGGCAACCTGTGCCAGTGCTTCACCATCCTCACAGTGAAGAATTCATTCCTGATCTAATATCTAATGAAGTAATTCCTCCTTGTCCTGTCACTCCATGCCCTTGTCAAAAGTCCCTCTCCAGCTCTCTTGTAGCCCCTTTAGGTACTGGAAGTAGCTCTAAGGTCTCCCCAGAGCCTTCTCTTCTCTGGTATGAACAGACCCAACTCTCTCAGCCTGTCTCCGTAGCAGATGGGCTCCAGCCCTCCTTATGAACCTGTCCTTCCTGTAGGATTTTTTTTTTATTAGGCCATAGTATTTACACCATCTTAGGTGTTAAATCCCAAGTCATGGTTCTCAGCTCTAAAGTCTCACTTCTCATGATAATATTGGTTTCTAAATACTACATCTCAAAATGTCATTGGCAGCTTTCTGAATTGTCTAGTCCATACTGGTTATGGAAAAAGGTCATTAACACCTCTAGATTCTGCAAGCCTGATCCTGTGTAACATGTAATTTATCCCATTGGTTTATATGCAGATAGCATGAGTAAGATGCTAAAAATAGGATTATAAGGGGCTGAATCAGTCTTTGTAATGTGCCTTGAAGTTTGAGGGTTCTTTATGAGCACTGGGGCTGGGATGAAGATAATTATGCCTGAAGAAATACCCCAGAAACTTATTGGCACCTGAATGAGTGAAAAAGAGAAGTTGTTTCCTGGTGTGGAGAAGGATTTGATCAAAGAAACTTCAGTGGGCTTTAGCAGACCTGATTGCTTGTTCATCTCTAGGTAAAGCAGAAATGTCTGCATTGGTGTTACATGGAGTCAGGCATTTGTAAATTATCATCAAAAGGACTCATGTCCTAGAGCCATAAACATTTTCATAATTTCCCCAGTGTAATATGACTCTTCTTAGTCATATTCTCAAGGCTATTGTATGCATTTTGGCAACTGATTGTGGTAGTGAATGACGGCATCACAAATTGCAGCTCTGTGGATGCTGTGAGCATCCAGCACTGATGGGCTCAGATATGAATATAATCACCGGAATAGTGTTGATGGAAACGGGTTGCTGAGGACAGGTATTTAGGAAAGGAGGTGTGACCTCCTGGGGACAGGACATTCCCTCATGCAGAGGATGGTTCAGTCCTATATCCAATCCTCAAAGCCAATTTTAGGGAGGTATTTTTCCTCTCCATCTCTTTCCTTGCACAAGCCTTTCTGCTCAGGCCTATCAAGTTGTATCACAACACCTTTAATATCAAAACCCGAGGCAGGTGATACTATCCACAGCAGGTCCCATTTTACCAAAATAAGGAAGTTTGCTTTTTTTTTAGCAGTGGATTAGGCTGAAGCTTTTCTGCACCTGGTTGTTACTACCCTGTAACCACACAGCCTGCGTAGGTGTCTCCAAGCACCTGCAGCTTTCAACCCATTGTATTAGTATGAAGTAAAATTCATGTCAGTTTGCACTAAATTGCAGGGCTGAAATTGCTGAGGGCGGAGATAAAGCTGCTGTTCAGCCATTCCCAAGGGACAAGCAGTTGACACTGGGAGAAGTGTGGAAAAAGAGCTCAGCCTAGTAACTTCTCCAGTTATCTGAGCTTAATTCACCCTTATATGTGAATAAGAGCCCTTATCAGCTGCAAAATGTCTATGGTAAATGTACACCAGTTTAAACTGAAACATCAAATGAAAATCTGTCATGGGAGGGAGATTTTACAGAAGCACAAATGTCATGTGCCTCAATCTCATTGAGCTTCAAAGAAATCTTGGAATCCGTCTGCCTTTGTGCTTTGGAATTCTTCTAGTGCTTTAAAGTAGCAGAAGGAAATGCCATAAGAATTCAGTG